ACCCAACATTTTCTTTCAACAATCATATTCATTATTTAGCAGTTCAAATAACTGGTTGTTACTTGTACTGTGGCAGTTTATTTAATTTTCAAGGCAACCGAAGGCAATATAGTAACCGATCAACAAATTTTGCTCACTAGAAATCAAACGCCCGTTTTGCTAACGAAAAATAGGGAGTATGCTATTAATTACTGATTGTCGAAAAAAATCATATCGTTATAGTAATATTTAATGTAGGTATTACAATCAGTTAGCATATTATATATAGTAGGTATAAACCTTTGAATATAATATTCAAAGGTATAAACAGCACAATTTAAAAATGGTAGGTATCAAAAAATAATTGATTAATAATTACCAAATTAAGTATTTAGCAATATTAAAACCCTTTTTGGCGATACAATGTTAAAAAGTTAAAGTAAGTACTTTTTGTTGACTTTATTTTCCTGATTTTGCAAACCAAATTGGAAATTGCAATGCTTTTGGGATCTTTCTCAGTGTTACAATCATTTATTCACCCGGTACAATTTCTATCTATACCATTGGATAACATTTGTGCATAATATAATGCCGGATTCGACAATCTCAGAAACCTGAAGAAAAATTTTTTGAAAATTTGGCCATAGGAGGTGAAAAACACCGCGAAAAAACCTTTTTTCTGAACTGGACAAGAAGTTATTCGACCTACGGGCTCGGTACTTTTGGAATCCGTAGACGTTAGGAGTGGGCACTTTTGAAATTTTTTTTATCCGGCTCGACACCCCCCTCCTCAACGGGAGGTGGGGGGAGGGCGCAAAGTGCGCTCCCAAGACCGTTTTTAGGTAAAGTCGCTACTTTAAATTTCGTAGCGGACAAAGGAGTGGAGATACGAAAAAACCCCATCGGCGGGTCTGGTGGTATTGAATACCCCCCAGGGAAAACAGAACTGCGATGGCTACCGGATGATGCATCTTCCTCCCGAGAGATTTACAATCAGTTTTTATCATCATCATTCTCGTGGAAGAACCATCGAAGTATCATTCGCCTGGGCGGTATGAAAGCAACTTTTCCTGTTCCACAGGATCCCATCCCGAAGAAGATCGATGATTCTTTTTCCTGGGGAAGCTTTGTGTGTAATATTCCTCAGGAACGGAAATTTCGATAGCTCCCCCTGAACATGATCACCACAAATCTTGATGGTTCTTGATGGAGACAGGGGCGCCATTTGAGGGGGGTAAAAAAGGACCGTGCCCCCCTCCCCCCAGAGTCTTCGGAAAAATAATCAAAACAGGCACGTACTTATAGTAAATGTAATGTATGCCGCTTGGACCTAGCCATGGCCTAGGTAGTAGGTAACGGGCGATCAAAAATGAATTGTTGTCTCCTTTGGAAGTTCAAGTTAAGTACAATTTCTCATGTAAACAAAAATTCCAAAGCTGACTCGACGGCAATGCATTTTTGATCGCACAGTACATAGCATTTCTAGCTTCGCTGCTAGAGGGTTGTTAAGTAGAAAAATGACTTTTTTTCTAAAATATACCCAACAAACATGCATAAACAAGTATAAATTGTGCAGATAAAGCGCATTTTTTAAAACCGAAATAGCTTTTGTTTTGACATTACCAATGGATATATTTCTTGCAGACGTCTCAATCGCGCTTTGTGAGTACCTTCTTCTGACACTCCGTTCTTGGAGGTATAAGGGAATATACCCGATCAGGATAAGAGGTCGACGAGGAGGGCTATGGTTAGTAGAAATTAATTCCTTTCGTTGAGAACTAGTTCCACTACTATTACTAATTGATAAGAGGACAGAAAGAAGGGCAGTAGTTGGTTGCTTTCGTTGACACCTTTAATTAGAATACAATGAGAGATAAAATTAATTTTTAACTAACCTCCCCCCCCCCCCATGCCCCGTCGCTCACTGATCTCGAAAAAGAGTCGCACGGGAAAGTTATAGTTCGTACAAACCAATTTATTTCGATGAGACCTTTCATTAGAATGAAGGGTAGAACATGTGTTTTTTTTACTTGGGTGAATATAAATATTGCAATTAAAATTTGTCAAAGTTCGTATTTTCGCCATATCTCTGCTTAGAAAACAGATATCAAAATGCGCTTTTCATTGATATTCTCACTTTTCCATCTTATTTGATAATATCATGTTCCATTTGAAATTAAAAAAAAAAAACTGCAACGTTTATGTTCATATCACATCGCGCCCCTTACCACTCATTACATTTACTAAAAAGATTATATTCATAAAACATCTGATTTCACGAAGAGAGCTCTTTCCAACAAGACTTATTATGTGAAAATCTGTTAACCTAATCCGAAGTTACATTCGATTCCTTGTCATTTTTGTGAAACCATTATTAATGGGACACCCTATACATACACTAGTAGTCAAATTTTCACATAATATACCATATCGCTTAGCGCTGGACCCCCTAAAGTTAAGGTGAAATGGCGTCGGGAAGGGGGGAGGGGCATTCAATACCCTCCAGACATCTTACATTTCTTAAATTTCTATATGGTGTTTTTTTCTCCTCTCCCCTTTATATCCTAATCCTAATGCATTCCCAGAATTTAATCTTTACGAAGGTAATGTATTGGGATAAAAATCACTCCTCACTTTTTTGACGGAAATACACGTTTGAAGCACCAGGAATCCGAATCAAACAGAATCTCGATTATGTTGGTCGGTCTATCTCTCTGTACTATTTCCGGCTAAATTGCTGAACCGATTGGATCCAAATTTAGACAATTTGGTACACATACTTTTAGAGATAAAAGGAAAAGCTCTGAGCAGAATCTCACATGCCCATGTATGTTTCCCTTTAACTTTTGAGCTGAATTGCACAGGCGTGGGGGTGGTATCTATGCTGGTCACAGCAAATTTTTTATTGCCTTATATGTTTGTGGGCGAAGTCTTATCAGCGGTTGCTCTTGCGCAATAATGTATAACAATTCCTCTAAACCCGAAGCTCGTCTTGGTCGTGGCCACAATTCATCCTAGAGAATATCACTCATGGATCTTTAAAGGTCCTTTAGAGAACACCACTAAACGAGCATACTAACATTTAAATATTCTATAAAGATTATCTCAAAAATTTAGGAGCTGTAAGAATCTTGAAAGGGCCTCCAACGTGAAAAATCTGAAATTATTTTAGAGATATTTAAAGGGACTCTGAGCAATCTCTGACCCAGGTCTGAAAAATTCTTGAACACCCCCTCAAGAATTTGGTGTGAACGTTTTGTAGAAGTTTTGAAAAACGTTTGTGAAAAATATCTAAATCTGTAAAGCTACCCCTGAATAGATAGTTATTTAAGAGTAAGCTTAATAATTATCTCAATAATTCTAGAAAAATCTCTAAACTGAGCTTCTGCAATATATATCTTTTGTGAGTGCTTCAGCAGGTTCTTATACAACAACTCTAATTACTCCTTAAAATTATACTTGAAAACCATTCAGTCGAAATTTAAAAAAAAACCTTTGTCTTCCAAAACCATTGAAGAACAAAAATATATTAATAAATTAGTCAAAAGTGAGATTAACTTTTTCATCATGAAAAACAAAAATTTTTTCTTTTCTTGTTACAAATACAGTCCAATGTCTTAAATGTGTCGTGTGGAGTAAAGCGTAGGTGTCAGTTGTGTATTGAACCTAAAATGTTCATTAGGGTGTCAATTAATAGGCCACAACGATAATATTCTAAGCATTTCAATTATCGTATAGTCATTTTGTAATATCTATCCTGTATAAAAAGTACAAAAGTTACTCGATTTGAAGAGAAGGCATACACATGGTGCACATATTTTTATTGCAGAGATCCAAACATTGTTAGCCATAAAAATCGTAGGGTTAGGTAATCTGTACTTCTAGCCATTGGTCTGACGCTGAGTTTTAGTTTGTGTAACCATATTCCGTATGATACTTACAAAATCATGGAGTTATCACCGCTGTTAATTCTATTTCGAAGATTTCGAAAAATTCCACATTGAAGCATATATCTGATCCTGTATGGAGTGTGTAGTTTGTAGATAAATTCAAATGTCATTACAATGGCGAACTTAGCACGTCTGAATCGAGGTAAAAGTAATACCCTAAGTATAAATGTTATAAAATATTTTCTTTTATTATACACATAAAAGCGAGCAATTTGATTTTATAATAAAGCACAATACCAGATGTTCAGCAAAATTTTTTGAGCGCGATTTGTTTAATTGGCTATCTTTCTTCCGCATGAGGCATATGCTTTTAACAATCATGTATGTATACAGACAAAAAACACAAAGCAGGGTCAATTACTTACAGATCACTAATACTTAATGGACGGGTTATTAAAATTGTTTAAAAAAACGGAAATTTGTTTATCCTTCCACCAGAACAAAGTTAATTTATAGAGACTTAATTTTAAGTACATTAGGGTACAACACACTAAAACATGAAAGGAAAACGAAAATGACACGTGCACGATCCCCAAACCATCAGGATACTATGACAATTAATTTCCTTTATAATAAACTAACCCTTTTTCCTTCAAATTACATAAAATAAAATTGTAAGATTAACCAGAACATAAACTGAACAGCCAATATTTTTTATCGGCACCTATAAATCATTTCAAGTTTTATTTATTGCAATAACGGTGTAGTATTATAAAATTAGGTTATTTGTATATTACTTTAGCAACACTTGAGACTCGAAAAACGCGAAATGTAGCCTATATTAATCGAAGTGGACTTGATTGGAAACGCTTTTTATTACATAATTTTCGCTCGAGCACCATTTAAATTGGAGGTATTTATAAATTTCGGCGTTTACGTCATTTGAATTGCAATTATTAAATAACCCCCTACCATTTCTCATTGGTAAAAGGATGCGATATGAAAAATGGGGTGGTAAACCCATTTCACGAAAAAAGGAGAGAGCGAGCTTTCGCGGTCTCGTTCATCCACCACAACTCGAGTGCGGTGTCAGGAACAATTTAGGATGATGAACATCAGTCCTATCACAGATTTTGTGGAAGAAACATAGGAGTATTTGTTATACGAGTTGTGTTTAATTGGCACTTCAATGTGAACTATGCGTTTGAGTGAGACGATTAATACCGTTAATCGCGTTAATTAATTACCGAAGTGCGTTTATATACGATGGAAGATGAGCGTGTAATCAAAGTGGAAAAGAACTGCAATAATATAATGACTGTTACCCCGTTTTCAATTGAAAATATTTTAAATGCGAAGAGTCTCAGTAGAAGCGGCGACGATTATTCGGACTTTCAAGACCGCGCTTTGGATATGACCAAATCTGGACACAAAACGCCAGGTAAAAGTCATTTTTTAATTTTACGCTTAAATTACCGCGTGATCGTGTCGTGATTATCCAAATTTTCTTAACGCGCAGTTGATACATCCTGGCACCTATAATACTCAGAAGCTTTTAACTTAAAAGCTTTTCCTACTTTTGTTACGCGATCATTACTTAATTCCCGTAATTGGTTCTAAAACGTACAATTTGACGCACCTATAGGAAATAAATATGAGCGAAAATCATATTTCAGATTCCTGTCCCGGATTTTCCGGATTCTCATCGGACCCTAACGCAGCAGCCCAATCAGATGAGGTTACGCGCGATGGAAACCAATCCGGACGCAAGAAGAGATCTCGTGCAGCTTTTACACACGCGCAAGTTTTCGAACTTGAACGCCGCTTCAGTCAGCAAAGGTATCTAAGTGGACCAGAAAGGGCCGATCTCGCTCACGCGTTAAAATTAACGGAGACTCAGGTGAAAATTTGGTACCAAAATCGCCGGTACAAGACGAAGCGGAAGCAATTGCAGATGCAGGAGCAGAATATAATGTCGCAGAATGCCCGGAAAGTCGCCGTTAAGGTTCTCGTCAAAGACGACATGCCCTTATTCATGCAGCCCAAAAACTTAATGTACCAAAAAACGCACGCGTACGACGGTAACAAATCGGATTTGTTTCTGTACGACCCCTTCAATAAAAATTCTACTCAAAAATACGGATCAAAGACTTTACAGGAGTCCATGTTGAATTTGTGTCAGCAATACAACAGTTCCTTACAGTTACTTCCATATTTCAGTTATTACCCTAACATTATGAGCGGTATGCAAACTAATCAGGACGAGGACGGAATTATAGACACTAGAGAATAGTTTTCTTAATTGCACCCTTCAAAATGTATACGACCAATTAATACCAAAGTTCTTTTCGCAATCACAGTGCAATTTTATGACACTTAGCGGCATTTTGATAACCATATTAAGCACCAATGCACATGATGTATTACTAGTCTTGTGGTAACAATTGCCGTAGATGTAAATAGTATTAAATTATCATAAATGTAGGTGATCTTATGTATATCTATGTACACTATTAAATTATTATAGAAATATACGATTTTTTCGATATGTTTTATATAGCGATTTGAGTTATTACTACGAGTACCTATATATTTCAATACTCAATTGTCTTTCGAAAGCGTGGAATTTTACACAAGGAAAGCAAGAGGAACACCGATTAAGGGACTTTGTACGTAAATGCTATATTAGTACTTCAATAGTTTTGGGTAAGAAAGGAGGCGTGTGCGTGTACGGTAGGTATATTTTTGATCACTTTTATCAAGCTTCATATACTCATTAAGAAACAGATAAGAATTTTTCAAAGGTGTCTTTTGTCTGTATTGCCAAAATTGAATGTTAATGGATATCAGTCAAAGTAGTACAAACAAGCATGAACGTGTATGACATGCCTACTTTAATTTGTTCTTCGGGACTAAGCTCCGCACAGAAAAAGGTTGAAATTTGGTTGTCCATCCTGGTTCGAAATAGGGTTCCAGTTATTTAAATAAATCGGATTGTACCTTCCCATCAAATTTAATAATAGTTATATATAACATCGTAATTAAAACCCAATTAAGGGCAGGTACGTTGGAACGACACGATTAATGTAAAAACATTACTGCACATGAGGGTCCCATGGGGGTTGATTATAAACGGAGTAAAATCGAGTTACATTTCAAAACTTAGGTAATACGGTGAAGCCGGAATCTAAAAATTTTAATTACAAAATATGTATCAATAAATGACAAAAACTTACTGGGCATCTATGAGATTTGGCAAAGGAAACTGAAAAAGCAAATTTTATACAGGATGGTGCAAGAAATTATTGTAAAAATAGGAAGTTGTGATTGAAGCCTAGAATTTTGTTAAGTGTTTTTTTCGGGTTTAATTTTGATTGGGAAACAATTTCCCGCATTTCAAGAAAGTTAGGTTTTTAACATTTGTCACATACCTATGTACACGTAAAATTTCAAAGTCTGATTTAGGGTTAAAGCAATGGCCAGTGTCCAATGTGCGGGAAGCAAAGGAAGATTTGGTTGATGAGGAAGTATTCTTGGTTTTGATGCGGGATAGGTGTTCGTAGAGTCTGGCAGAGAATTTTCTCCCAGTTTGGCCTATATAGAAGGATTGGCAGGACGGACAAATAAGTTTGTAAATGCAACTCTTTTCGGTGAGGGGGATAGGGTTTTTTGTGTGGGACAGAAAGGATTTAACCTTGTTGTTGGCTTTGAAAATTATGTTTATATTGTGTTTTTTTGAAAATTTTTAAAGGCATTCGAGCCTGAACCAATAAAGGGTAAACAATAGAAGGGTATGATTTTTTTCGAGAGCGAGTGACAAGTGGCTGGATCTATTGAAGTTGTGTTTGTAAAGGAGTTTTTGTTGTAAGTAGGAAATAAGTTCACTAGGGTAGTTAGCGTTTTCTGCAATTTGATAGATGGCGTTGAGTTCGAGGTTAAATTTCTTTTTGCTAAGCTTTAAGTGGAATAGTCTGTGGAAATAAAACCGGAAGGAAGAAAGTTTATGTTGAAGAGGGTGGAATGAGGAGAAGAGGATTATATTGTTAGTGGTAGTAGGTTTCCTGTAAATACCTGTATCTAGTTTTTGGGAGGTACGTTCAATTGAGAGGCAGAGGTCTGGGAAATTGAGGGTGTTGTTGGTTTCTTTTTCTAATGTATAAATTGTATGTTTTTATGTAAGGAATTTAGGAAATTGAAACAGGAATCAAGTCAGAAGCACCGGCACGGTCTTCAAAAATCACAAAAATGTCATCGACGTAGCGTTTATAAAACTTAAAAATGGTTGTTGGTTCAAGGGTTTTTGAAAAGATATTGTTTCTAGATTTGAAAGGAAAATTTCTGCTAATAGAGGAGAGAGGTTATTGCCCATTGGACGTCCGGATTTTTGGGTGTATTGAATATTGTTAAAATTGAAAAAATTTCGTCTTAGCCAATAGTCAAGACAATTAATTAGTAATTTACAAGTGTCGTCGGGAAAGTCACAGTCTGAAAGGAATTGTAGGATGACCTTTTTACAATCTTCGTAGAGGACGCTGGGGAATAGATTGACAATGTCATAGGAAACAAGAAATTGGGAATCGCTAAGTTTTAATTTAGAAATTTAGTGAACGAATTCAACGGAGTTATCTATAGCGAAAGGAGAGAAAGGGCGTAATACGGTTTTCAGTTTTGAGTTAAGCCAAGTGGAAAATTTTGAAACAGGGTTTGTAAAGGAAACGATAGGTCTCATAGGGATATTGGGTTTGTGTATCATTGGTAACGCGTTTAAGCGAGAATTATCAGGTTCATAAGAAGGAAGAAATTGGGGTGTAATTTAAATTGAGTGTTGATAAGGTCTTTGTGCGATAATATAAATTTTCTGAATTTTTGGTTGAAGTTGTTGAAGTTGATATTAGAAACAGAAAAATCATTACCTTTAAGGAAATTTTCGACTTTTTCCACGTAGTCACATTTGTTTAAGATCATCAGCCTTTGTGAAGATAAGGTTATTATCTTTCCCTTTCCGCTTTATGGATTTTAAAGTTTTTGTGGTGTTTGAACTTTCCAGGTGTTAATCTTAAGCTATTAATCTTATGTAAGCAACTGACTCTGATGGAGTTGATGTCTGATTGTGAATGGTTACTACTGATTTTTTGTATGATTGAGTTTAAGTTCTTCCACTGTTTGTTTATTAGCTTTGAAGAGGCTATATTTTAGACCCTAATTTAGGAGATGGAGGTGGTAGAACTTAAATTCGATACATTGGGGTGGAAGTTGAAGAAAGAAGCAGCTGCAGTCGGTTGAGATTGTGAATGAAAATTAAGTTTTTTAAGGTTTTTTAGTTTAGCATTAAGTTTTTGAAAGATTTCTGAACCGAATGTCTCAACTTCCCTTTATTAAAACCTCTAATTTATGTAGATCTTTGTGAAGGTGGTAGAGATTTAAGTTAAGGGAGTTCCTGACTTGATACCAATTTACCTGTTTTACCTGTGATGATGGCGTATTGCGGTTTGATGGAGTTGGTCTTCGTATTGATGTTAATGTATTTGGGAAAAAGTTCTTCCATTAAGCAAGTGCTGTTAAACCATATGTTAAGTGAAAAACACGACTAGTTTCTGTCATCTTCAGGTGAAAAACTAGAGTAAAAAATGTACATTATAAAAAATGTGTACTAAAATCTAGGGACTACTTACTAAAAGGGTTGGTTGTAGTTTACAATAGGTGGTTAAAAATTTAAAGTTGGAAATACTTGCATCGATAAAACTAAAAATGATTAATTATTAAAATCATAAAAAACTCCGTCCCGACTTTATACCTCCGTTTGTTGTAAGTACCTATCAACGACTACTCCAAGATTACTTAAATCATTCTTAGTTCTATCGATAGAAGTATTTCCAACTTTAAATTACTATAGCTATAGCTTTAGTTCTTTGGCGTCGAGGGCTATCCGCTTGCCATAACCAATAACATAGCAAATTGCTCCTTTGTCAAGGGTCTAAAGAAGCAAATCATCCCTACGGTATAAATTTGGTTTACCTATTCCTTTATGCCCAAATTGATACTGAATTAATATTTTTCATTTTATTCAGGTCCTCACTTGGGTTCCTCATATTCAGAGCTGGGCAGAATACTTTCAAAAAGTATTTGAATACTAAATAGTAAATACTTTACACAAATCAAAGGTATTTGAATACTAAATACTTTTACGTCCAGCACAAGCGAATACTAGATACAGATACATTGAAAAGTATTCAAATACTTGTCACTCAAATACATTAAAAATTTAAAATAGTATACTAGATAAAAGGCTTAATACTACTTAAAAAATCAAGTTATACTTTGTATGGGGTTAACTTTTTAGCGCATTTTGGAAAAAAATACGCTATTATATTCGTTATTGCTGGCAGGCCGGCTGTCCGCGTGAGATCTCCACAACTACAATAGCTAGAGAATTCAAATTTTCACTAAAAGCTTTCTGCTATAGTGTAGATGTGCAGGCACTAGCCTATTTTGAGTTAGATTACTTGTGAGATCGATAATTGAAGAAAATAATTTCGATATGGGTTTCGGAGGTGCTATAATTTTACCGTTAGATAGCGCTACCAATATAAAAAAATTAAATAAAATTAATTATTTAACGCATTACTCGTGAGATCGATAATTTTAAACTTCGCTAATAAAATACTGACCTGCATTAGCATTTATGCGCTTTAATCATCCATATGCTGATTTACAACTTGTTTTATATTTCAATTGTTATATACAAATTTAAGGGGAGTAAAAGCGTATTATTATTATTATATTATTATATAGGAGGTACCTACCAGGACCTTTCTTATTTATTTATTTATTGTCCCTCTTGTTCTAGGCCCTCAACAGGGTTACGCCCAATTACAGAGTGACCCGCATAACGCTTTTTATACCAGTTATATCCTTAAGAATATGTGTACCAGTTTTCAAAGCGATCGTACGTCGTGCACATGATACGTACGCCTTTCTGAAATTAATCCTAGCGATTTTGGAACAGATCCATTTTTGACCATCCGTTTGTCCGTGTGCATGATAACTAGTTTAGAAACGGGCGATCACTTTGAAAATTGGTACACATAGTTTTAAGGATATACGAAAGGTCCCTATTGTTTTTAAGTTACGTAGACTATCGAGTTCGGTATTCAGATGTATCGGATTTTTATATTTGATTTTGTGACAATGGAAACTTTCCCTAAACATTTTTAAATTGTTCTCAAATATTTGAATAACTTAAAAGTACTGCCTTTTTTGAGGCCGGAAAAAAAATTGTCTGAGATCGAGATCGATCGAGAGTCCATAATTTCAAACAGTTTGAAGATTGGGCTACTAAATCAAAAGTTACAGCCCTTTGAATTTTTTTTCGAAATTTGTTTTTTGTCCATAACTTTTTGTTGAGAGGTCTAATCGAAAACGTACGAATTGTTTTGGATTCTACGCACCAAAATTAATAAGAAAAAAGTGTTTTCCCGAGAAATTTTGGTGTAGTCGATT